TTTGTTGTGTTTTCTCATGGAGATTAATCCACTATTTATAGGCCGAAATCCCATTATCTCCACCCCCCTCAAACTGCCTCTGAGAGATTTTCTCTCAACAAACTCCATATCCCATGTTTCTCTTCACTTGAGAAGCATTGATTTGGTCACACAAGACCAAGTCAGACTAACATCTCCCACTTGACCAAATCAACCAAGTGATATGCCTCCCACTATCCGTGAGATCAGATGTTTCTGCTTACTATTACTCCCACTATCCATAGAGAGTAACTTTTATTTCATTATTCATGAAATTTTACTTGGACTTATTTATTCCTAAGTCCCATCAAACTTACATGTTTGATAAAAGATTCCGCTGGTATTCCTTTTGTCAAAGGATCAGCAATCATATCTGTAGTAGGGATATAAGTCACTTTGACTTCTCCCTTTTCTACAATATCTCGAATATAGTGATACTGGATCTCAATATGTTTTCCTTTGGAGCTATTCGCGCCACTATTGATTAAGCTAATTGCTGCTTGATTATCACAATAAATATCAATAGGTCCTTCTAACAAATTGAGATCAAGATCAATCAAAAACCGTCTTATCCAGACAGCATGTGTAGTTGCCATACTGCAAGCTATATATTCAGCTTCTTGCGTATATCTAGCAACACACCCTTGTTTCTTGCTACTCCAAGAAACAGCTCCTCCTCCAAAGATAAATAAGTGTCCCGAAGTGGACTTTCCATCATCTTTATCACCTCCGAAATCAGCATCGGAATAACCGAGGAGTTCAAGCGAATCAGCTTGATAAACTAATCTATGAGTCAATGTACCTCTGATATACTTCATAATCCTTTTAACAGCTTCCCAATGTGCTGGTCCTGGATTACTTTGATATCTACTGACTAGACTCACAGCATAAGCTATATCAGGTCTGGTGCACAACATTGCATACATCAAGCTTCCAATTGCTTGAGCATAAGGAACATCTAATGGCTTCTGCTCCTATCCAGGGCTTTGCTCTTTACATAATCTCTTTCCCATAACCAACGGAGTTGGTGCCGGATTGGAATTCTCCATTCCAAACCTTTTAAGAACTGATCTTAAATATTTTTCTTGGTTTAAACTTAGCATTCTAGACTTTCTATCTCGAATTATTTGAATTCCAAGAATATATGATGCATCTCCCATGTCTTTCATCTCAAACTTTTCGCTGAGATCTGCCTTGGTTTTATTCAACATTTCTATGTCATTTCCAGCGAGCAATATATCATCCACATATAAGGATAATATAGTAAACTTGCTCCCACTTTTCAAGACATATACACAATTATCTAATTTATTTTGAATAAAACCAAGTTTAGTAACTGCATCATGAAATTTGAGATACCATTGTCTAGAAGACTGTTTTAAACCATATAGAGATTTCATTAATTTGTAAACTTTATGTTCCTGTTCTTTCACCTGAAAACCTTCAGGTTGTTGCATATATATTGCTTCCTTCAACTCTCCGTTAAGGAATGCAGTTTTAACATCCATTTGGAATAACTCCAAATCAAGATATGCAACAATAGCCAAAATAATTCTAATGGATGCAAATTTAGCTACAGGAGAATACGTCTCCTGAAAATCTATTCCTGCCTTCTGGTTATAACCTTTGGCAACTAACCGTGCTTTGAATTTATCAATAGATCCATCAACACGATATTTCTTTTTGAGCACCCATTTGCATCCTATGGCTTTCCTATTTTCTGGTAGATCACATAACTCCCATACCTTATTCTTTTCTATGGAATCAAGTTCTTCTCTCATAGATTCTAGCCATAAAGCCGATTCATGCGATTTCATCGCATCAGAAAAGGTTAAGGGATCTTGTTCTTCTATATTTGTATCTACCGAAAAACAGGATGACTCACATGAATACAAATAGTAATCATCCATCCATGAAGGTTGTGTTCTTGGTCTTTTGTTGCCTACAACCGGTTGATTAGGTACATTAATTTCTATAGGTATTTCATCATTTTCAAGGTTAGGTTCATTCACAATATCAGGGTCATTAGTGGGAACAACACTGTAATAATCATCATCTATTACAGTTAGAGGTTCTGTTTCCTCTTGAACTTGTTCCTCTTCCTCTAGATTCTCTAGAAATGTAGCATCTCTGCTTTCAATGACTCCTTTTTCTTTATTGTAGAACTTATAACCTTTTGACTTTTCTGAATACCCTATGAATCTACACTTTATTGTTTTAAAATCCAACTTATCTCTAAGTTGACATGGAATGAGAACATGGGCTATAGATCCCCACTTCCTGAGATGACTCAAATTAGGTTTCCTCCCATTCCATAATTCATAAGGTGTAGATATAACTGATTTGGTGGGAATTCTATTTAAAATGTAGTTTGCAGTTAACAATGCTTCTCCCCAAAAGTTTTTAGAGAGACCAGAATGAGACAACATGCATCTAACTACATTTAATAATGTTCTGTTCTTTCTTTCAGCAACACCATTCTGTTGTGGCGTATACGGCATTGTTGTATGCCTTTTAATTCCATGCTGAATACAATAACTTTCAAATTCTTTAGAATTATATTCTCCACCTCTATCAGTTCTCAGAATTTTGATTTTCAATCCAAGTTGGTTTTCAACTTCTGTCTTATATCTCTTAAAGCAGTCAAAAGCTTCTAATTTTCTGGATATAAGATAGACGTGTGCAAACTTGGAATAATCATCTATAAAAGTAATAAAATATTCTTTATTACTATGAGTTTTGACACTTAGGGGACCACAAATATCCGAGTGTATCAACCCTAAAAGTTCATTGGCTCTGTGTCCACCAATAAAAGGTTTTCTAGTCATTTTACTAGTTAAACAATGTTCACATGGTGGCAATTGAACATTAGATAGTGCAGGAAGCAAGTTCATTCTGATAATTTCTTTCATTTTTGAAATACTAGCATGTCCTAGTCTAAAATGCCACAATTCAGATTCAGAAATATAACAGGACAAGTAGTTCAAATTCGAAATTTTATTATCAGAATTATTACAAACTACTGGAAGAATGCATAATTCATGCTCGGGCACATATTTACCCATAGCATACACTTTATTATTCTTGCCTATAGAAACCCTGTTATTATAGAACCTCACTTCCAGTCCTTTCTTCATCAAGCTGGGAACAGAGATCAGATTGCGCCGAATTCCTGGTGCATAGAACACATCTTTGAGGACAAGAATGCTGTCCCCAAGATCCAATCTATACGAACCAATACCTTCTACATCGAGATAGGTATTATTTCCCATATAGATTCTCTGTTCTCCTTTCTTCAGCTCGGTGAATTCTACGACTCCATTCTTGTCCTTTGCGATATGCCTAGTCGCACCGGAGTCGATCCACCAACCACTGATATCCGTCATCACAGCATTACATTCCGTCACACCGACGAATTCTCTTTTGCTAGTACCCCCTTGTTCTGGATGCTTATAGCCTCCCTTATTCTCCTGCTTTTCACCTTGTGGGCAATTG